TCCACACCCCCACCAGACAGGAGCTGAGGCCCCTTGGGGCTCCCCACTGCTGCCACAGTCCCTCATGGGGACCCCAGGAGCCAGGCTTGTCCCCTCCACCCTCCCATTTTCGCAGAGCACCAGAGCATCCCTCCCAGAGCCCAGCCCGCCTGCGAGCCAGTGATCCCGGAGCAGGGCCTCGGCCATGCTGCAGGCACCGAGCAGGACCCGACAGTTCTGCATCTCTCTGCCATGTACCACCAACCACCCATTGGCACCAACTCTTGGCCCTCTCCTACCAGGCTGCCGGACGTGCTGATGCAGAGCCCAGCCAGCAGCGCATGAACAACAGCACCAACATTCCTTGCTCCCAACGAACCATTGGTAGTTTTCCCTCACCTCAGCCATCCCCGCAACAAGAGATGAGTTTGGACTCACCCGCCACGGCAACAAAACCACCCCAGGGTCTCCTCTGATGTCTTCAGGGCGTTGCATCACCCTCTATCACCCCCCCAAGACCACAAACCCACCAAGCTGCCCCACACGGCCGACACACATGAGAGCATGGCACAACTGCCCTGTGCCATGCACACCCTGAGCAGAGTCACTGCCCCCCCAGGGCTGGCGGGGACCTCAGCAGATAAATCCGGCTGCTTTTTATTTTGTAGCAGATTGACAAAAATCATGGGACAGCAGCCGAGCGGGCGATGGTTTATATTTAGATTTTTAATGCGGCGTCTCACCAGAGGGGAAAGAAGCCCTGCTCCAAATGAATCCTGCTTGCCTCTGGGACCAACAGCACCCGGGCATCCGATCAGCACCAGGACGGAGCTGGGAGCGCGGGTGGCCAGCACCTGCAAAAGACAGAGGCCGAAAGCGGCCATGCCAGAGGATGCATGTGAACGCCCATGGGCTGAGCCCCACACCATGGCCATTCAGGGGCTGTGACAGCCACTCCAAATGGTGCCGGACACCCCATGAGCACCCACGAAGCACCTGCAGCACCCCAGGGTCAGGATCCTGCCCAATGCATAAGGATCCCCTCAGCCCTTTCCTAATGAGGCAGAGCCTGATCTCAAACCTCTCTCTCCCTTCTTTCCACCATGACGCTGCCTCTCATCCCAAAGCAGAGCTCAGCTTCTTAATTTATTATATTTTTTTCTTTTTTTTTTTCCCCTGGGAAGTTGGGCAAAAAATAGAAAAGGAACTTCAACATCATGATGTTCCAAAAATGTAACGGCTTGACTCATAAGATCCCCAAAGCAGCTCATCTCCATAGTGTTTTATTGGCCTCCTGGAAGAGGAGCACCATTTCTGCGTCTGGGTGCTGGAGGTGGAGGTGGCTCAGCACAGCAGCTCGATGGATGCATGACTAAAAACAGCTCCCAGCATCCTGCAAGAACTCTGTCTACACTTGAATTTACAATCATGCTCGTCAATGTCTCTTAATTAACCGGTGTTGAAATGCAATTACTCAAGTCAGCAAAGTTGGGCTTTGAGAAAAATACCTGCCGGTGGGATGGGAGAGAGGAGGTGAACGACTGACGGCTGCTTCAGAGAGCTCTCCAAGTCAAGGACTATTTGCTTTTTCCCTTGCCTAATCCTGGAGTGTTTTCCAGGCAGCTCTTTTCCGACCAGCAACCAAGAAACTCCCATTAGAAACTGGTGTCCCTCCCTGCCTGCTGCCTGCCAGGCTTTCACAGCTGCCCCAGGGCTGCGGCTGCTGCGTTTGCAGTGCTTTATGGAGCAGGCAAACCTGCTGCGGTGCGGGTTGGCGGCACCGTGCTGCCGGGGACGCTGCTGGGATCCTGCTGCGGTGCCTCCATTCCTCCCGGCTCTGCTCTGTCAAGGCTAACGGGAGTGCAGAGCCAACGCTGCTCCAGGGGAAAACCAAACAGTGATGGCAGCCAAAATACCAATGCGCTGAGGCCGAAAAAAGCGTAAAGGCAGAAGTTTTCATTAAAAATTGAAATGCTTTTGAAAACGTTGGTTTTGATGTAAGCAGCAAAGGGAGGCAGCAGCGGGGAGAGGGAGCAAGGGCTCATTTCCAGCTGGTTCTGCATGCTCATGGGGATGGGGGGACCATGGGACATGGGGAGATGGTGCCAGTGTGGCATGGCCAGGGTCAAGGTCTCATGTCCTTGGCTGCCTTCAGTGTCCACACCAGTCATCGCCCATGCAGCCACGTGCCAGATGATTGGGTCAAATTGGAGCACAGACGGGGCCTTTTCCCAGCACACCAGGTCCTCTCCAACCTGCGTGGCACGGCCCTGAAGCACTGGGGGAGAGGAGCCAGTGCCACGCCCAAAGGAAGCCCAAACTTCGTGTGGTCCTCGGCTGTTATTTCGGATGTTGCTGAAGAAGGAGCTTTTAAAAGCAGGGAGAAACAACGCACATCCCAGCTGAGTCCTGGCGAAGGCCCCCACGGCATGAGAGCCCGGGCAACGGCAAAGGGGCAGTGAACATGCTGCCAAGCGGCACCGGAACCCTGCCACTCACTGCAGGCGGTTTGTGCCGTCATATCCGCATCCTGAACCGTTTCTCCTACTATTCAGACTAAAATTGCTCTGTGTTTAAGCTTCAGAACCGTTTATCTCATTGAGCGAGGAGGATAATCCACCCACTTCTTCCTCGCTCCCTGGCAGGTATTTATAGGCAGCCACTTGTCTCCTGTCGGCAGCTGCCGCTCCTCACCCCGGACCTCCCCAGCTCCATCCCCAAGGCCACAGAGCAGCTCCCAGGAGGACGGCATCCCATATCCGGAGCCTGGCATCCCCCTGGGCATCGGGGCTGGCACCGCCAACCCGCTCCCACCCCGACACCGCTCCCTCCAAAGGGGATGCTTTCCCCGGCTCTGCATCCCGCTCCACTGCACGCCCAGCCCTGGGCGCATCGGCTCTGCCAATAAGTAATTGCAAACTCATTAAGAGCTCATTGAGAGAAGCAGAGGCCGCCCGGGAGAGCTGCCCCAGGCATTCAGCACAGGAGGCTGCTGGAGCAGCAGCTGCTTGAAAATTAAGAGGGAAAGGGGAGGAAAAAACCCCTCCAGCCACATCAGGTCAGGAAAACAACCTGGTTATCGAGTGGGGTCAAAGGAAAAGGGTTTGGGGCTGAGCCAAACACAGGGGGCTCTGTGGCCAGGCAGCTGGAAGCCTGGCAACGGGCTGAGACTCGCACTGTGGGCTGCTCTGGGGCATAGAACTGGGAAGATGAAGGAAAAAACCCCGTGGGGCAGGGGAAGGGGCTCAACAAGACCCAGATTTCTCTTTAGAGAGGGGAGAAATGAGGAACAGCCAGCAGTAGGGCGGACACAGGCACACGTGCGTTTTGCAGAGCTTTCATTTGCCTCCAAGCCCATCCCCAAACCCTCCCACTGCTGCGATGCTCACTACGACAGCAGAGCGCTCATTAATTTTTGTGTAATTGGCATCAGTTATTAGTGGGTAACACCGACTCCCCCCCAGCCTGGCAGGCCAGAGGCCAGGGCACCCATGGGGCAGGAGCTCACCCCCTCTGCACCCTGGCCAGCTCCCAAACCTCCCCTATTTTCTCCAAACCACGCGCTGAGCTGGCAAAGTCATTTCCAACCCAGCGCTTGGCCCCACCAGGGCTGTCCC